CTTTCTGGGGTGCACTTCAGAACATGAGATGTGAGAGTGGGCAAGGAGAGGTTGATGAGGACACAGAATCCACATCAACAGCTATCAATCCCACAAACACTATCTGGACTTCAAAGCTTTGGGTTCAGGCCATGTGGATTGGTCGGGGTGGCATTGAGTGGGGGAAGGTTCACTGGATGGCAGCCAAGAGACTCTAGATAGAGTCTGGATTCTGTCAATACAGGGGGTGGGGGTCGGGGGCACACACAACAAGCTGGGGGTGCTCCCTGAAGGAGGCACGTGCCTTTCACTAGAACTCAGCTGACTCCTATCACCCTGACCGCCTCCCCCAAGCGTGAGCACACATACACACACACACACACACACACACACACACACACCCTCAAGTCTGCACAACAGCTCTGAATAGCAAGTATTAGTGTTTCTGTTTTACAAAATGAAAAGTGAAGCAAAGAAACTCAGCAGATGTAATGCAAGGAGAGGTGAGGGCAGAGCCTGATCTTTCTTTCCCTCACACTCACAGTTTCTAACAAGTTGTCTCAGGTTCATTCCAGCCCACCAGCTTTGGGCAGGATTCCAGATGTGAATTTCCTAAAACCTCACCAGTCCCTAAGCCCTCACGCACCTCCCTGAGGCTCTGTGATGTGCAGGCATAGGCCCCATCGGCATGGGGGCTGTAGCTCAAAGACAGAACACTTGTCGCACATGGATGAGGCCGTGGCTTCCACCCCCAGAACCAGACCAAAAAAAAAAAAAAAATCCATAGGCGTGACTTTAACAAGATCCAATCACTGAGGGAGAATTTCCCCCCACCCTCACCCCCACCACTAAGAACAGGGCTATTTCTTCTTAATCTCTTTTTCAAAATACAAATACACACAACTGTGAAAATCAGCTTAAACATGCAAACTGAACAGTCATGTTTGAAGTAGATATACCCAATGTGATGAGCAGGACAGAAGACAGTCACATGCAGCCACCAGCTGCGGGGCTGGCCCCTATCAGCAACAGAAAACCTACGGATCCCACCCTGACCCCCCAAAGTTCCCTATCAGGAAGATCAGGCTTTAATATGGGGTACCCCAAGAGAGTGTAGCAGCCACCTCTTCTGCCCTGGCTTACCCTCCCTGCCTTTCTCCCCAGGCCTGAGTTCTTTCGGGTGGCACTTGGCCGATAGACTGAGCAAGTCCCCACCCACAAACACAGCAGCAAGCAGAGGTACCTGTGCTTCTATTAAAATGCAGTGAGACACATGCTAGGGAAAAGGGAACTCAGATAGAGAAGGGAGCATCAAATAAAGGGTGTTGGGAGGATCCTCCCAGGATGGGAGAAGCATGCTGAAAGTAGACTCTAGACCAAACATGATTGCCACTCAATGCCTCTTTTGCAAACCACAACACCCAAAAGGAGAGAGAGAACAAAAGGGAATGCCCTGCCACAGAGGCAGGGTGGGATGGTAGGGCTGGGGGGGTGGGGTGGGAGGGACACTGGGACCTGTGGTGGTAGAAAATGGGCCCTGGTGGAGGGATGGGTATTTTATCACTGTATAATTGAAACCCAAGCACAAAAATTTGTAAGTCTACAACTGTACCTCATGGTGTCTCACTAATAAAAATTAAAAAAATTAAAATAAAAGGCAGTGAGAGCGTTCCATCCTCCCTCTGCCCTGTAAGATTGGAAGGTCCATGCCCTTGTCACAGGTTCCAAGAGCAAGTTGAGATTGGAGCAGGTACAAACTAGGGCCCAGGAAAGACACTTCGGAAGGTCAGAGCTGGGATTCAAACCTCCAGCTGCTCCTCATCCTAAAGTCAGAGCAGCCCATTCCTAGGAAGAGGGAGACTGGCCCCATGCTGACACCTTCACACTCGGCCAGTGGGGTGGTCTCCAATTACTCAGTGGGCACTAGAGAGCTAAGCCTGCTCCTGCTTTCCCAGGAAGGAAATACCCATCATGTCTGGAGTCGAGCATCCTTATGTGAGGCTGGAGCGTGTGCCCAGGTGAGGGTTGGGAGGGTACCACCTGCAATGGCACACACCTGCTTTTATGGCAGTCCCAGTTCCACACCTGGCTTCCTCGGGCCTGGAAGCCATCACCAACAGCCTTTCACTCGGCTAGACTTGTGGCTCATTCCCTAATTAAGGGGTATTACGCACTTCATTGCACACCGGCTAAGAACTCAGAAGAAGGAGGCTTCTGCGAAAGCATTAGCCCAGGAGATAGCTCCAGGGATGCTTTAGAGAAAGAGAAAAAAAAAAAAAACAGAAAGAGCCATCACTTGTGACATCCCAGGCTCTGTACCTCTCAAATAAGCCACCCCAAGCATGACACCCCCAGGCAGAGCCTAGTCAATAAGCCCAATTATTGACTAGGAAAGCAGAGAGAAGGAAGAGAGAGCAGCATGGGAGCTGACTTCTAAAGCAACCACCTGTGAGGAGCTGGGGCCTCTTTTGCTGGGGGATTCTGAAGATGGTCCCACCTACAACCTGGGTCCCAAAGGATAGGAAGGTTGATCCCTTATTGAGCCCACATCCTGAAACACTCTGCCATCTCATGCCCTCTTGCAGAGGCCCAGCCTGCTGGCTGCTCAGTGACACCAATGCATGAAAACCATCAGCTCCCTCATGCCCCCTCAACCCCACACCACACACACACACACACACACACACACTCCTTTAGCTTTCTTGGAAAGCATGTCCCTTTAGATACCCCCTAACAGTTTGGAGAGGCAGCCTCAAGCCTCCTCCCTTTTTCAATACTGGGGGGGGGGGGGGGGGAGGAGAAATCATACACTGAGGGTCAGTCCAGGGAAGGATACCCTTGATCCATCTTGAGTTCAGTGGGAATGATGGATGGCAATGTGCCAAGGACTAACTAAGGAGCAAGCCAGATCACGTGCAACTCCCCTGGATAACAGAGACCGTCCTGGAGAGATCAAAGGTTCTAGCAAGGCTTTAAGGCCTCATCTTTGGCCTCTTGAGACCCTTGCCAAGGAAATGATGGGTTAGATATAAAACAGCCGCCTGGGCTTAAAGAACCTTTACTTCCACACAGAACCTGGCTGTGGAGTTGAGAGGAAGCCACTGGTTACCTTCCCCCCGCCCCACCCTCAGCCCCACAGTCATGAGAGTTCCTCAAGCGAGGGTTCAGCCTCAGGGGCTGCTGACGTGTGCTTCCACATGAACCCCCCCACCCCACCACTATGTATTCAGGCAGACAAGAGGAACAGCTGAGCACACTGAGAGCTGCCCGGTGCAGTGGAAGGTCTAAGCTTTGCCACAGCACTAGAAAAGCATGGAGTGAAGTCCAGGGTGGCATTCAGCCTTCGTGGAGGAGGCTTCCCAACTTCCCAACCTCACCCCCCCCCCCACTACCTACCCCCCACTGTCTACCTACGACATCATTTGCAGGCAACACGTTTTAGAATCCTGTTTGCTCCACTCAGAGGGGCTTCCGGGACTCCAGGTCCCTTCCCCCCAGCTCTGCTTGGCTTTCCTCTTTAGCAGACAGACACCACCACAGCTGATCTCACTGTGCTCTTCCTCACAAGGTTTTAAAGAGATAATACCAAACAGCTCCCCCAGGAAACAGAGCTGTACCAGATCGGAAAGGTGATGGCCCCACCCTCAGCACTCTGGGCTCTTCCAGAATCAGAGACAGCCTCCAGTCAGCAAAAGGCTGCCGGCAAAGGCTGGTTGTAGCATTTAAAGAAAGTCAGAGTAAGAGGGCGAGAGCAGACGGCAGGGATCTGGAAGCAGGTGGGGAAGGGATTCTCCATTGGGGGGGGGGGAGGAGGGAGGGTGTGTCTTCATGAGGCAAAGGGCCTGGACAAGTGCTGACCAAGGAGCCCATTCCTCTGCAGCCACTGTGCCTGCCATCCTGAACTTGCTAGTGCAATGTGGTTCAAAGGCTCAGCAGCTCTGAGCACTCCCCGGGGCAGCCTCCCAAGGCTGCTTCTGGGAGATGGGAGGCCTGGGGGGAGGGTGGTCTCAGACTTGTCCAAAAGCAAGTTGGTATCTGCAGCATCAGTTTGACTCCTTATGCCAAGTTCTGGCTTGCAGCCCACTAACTGGGCAAGCAGGGGACTCCAGCAGTAACACCCCTTCCCCATCCTTTCTCTCTGCCCCTCCAGAAGGCCCACCTCCCCCTTTCAGTTTGGCTTTTCCTCTTGCCTCAGCTCCACACTCCTGCAGGCTTGCCAATCCCGCAGCTGCCAGCCCCCTCCCCACACCACTCTGCTCGCATCCACGTTCAGAAGCGATTGTACAAACAGCAAACCCAGCCTTTGAGTTTCAGCGGAAGCTCCCAGGCGTGAGCCAGTCTGGAGTACGCCAACCTCCGAGGCATCGCCCTGACCCCCCCAGCACACAGGGCCTCCACCTCGACCCTCCTCTTTGGCCTCAGCAGTCCTGGATTCCAACCTGCTGGCAAGCGAGTCACAGACCCACAAGGTGCTCAGAATCCAAAGACGAAATGGAAGCAACGACACTTCCACACCTTTGCAGCATCACCTGCTCCGGCAAAGCCACTAGAAGCCTCCAGGCTGCCTGGGGGCCCACACCCCCTCCACAGGCAGCCTTCGCACCAGCCCGGCCCACAGGATGCTGTTCCTGATGCCACTTCCGAGACGAGAGAGAAAGAGAGAGAGAGAGCCACCTCGTCAATGACAAGCTGTTCTTATCACACAGCTCAGACACCAAGTAAGTGCCCTGGACCACAGACAACTCGAGCCTCCTCCCTCTGGCTGGGAGGAACCTAGCTCAGGACCGCCCGGAGAAAAGATTCCTCCCAAACAAGCTTCCCCCCAACCCCCCCCCCCCACCTAACTAGGAGGAGGGGTTCACCCCAACAGACAGCCACCTACATCCTATTTCAACCACTCTCTGGCTTTCAACAAGCGTGTTGCTCTCTCTCCTGACACCCCCTCCCCCCGAAAAAAAAACACACAAGACGACCACCAGCACAGCAGAAGACCACCAGCCTGGGCCCCTCTGCAGAGTTACCAAGCAGGGAGAAAGAACCAAAACCTGGGGACTCACCGTGGTGAAGTCCTGGTGGCCGCATTCCTGCCCTTTGAACTTGCAGTAGAGCAGCATATCCTTCAGGTCGTGGCCCACGCGGTGCAGAAACTCCAGCATGCTGAACTGCTTGGGTTTGTAGTGCTTGAAGTTGGCCTTCTGCCGCAGGGCCTCCAGCACAGCGGGGTCAGCCAGGTGCGGGTCTGGGATCTGCAGGTTGACGTCGAGCAGGGCCAGCAGCTCACCCGCGTGATACAGGTCGTTGGTGGTGAGCCTGGAGAAGCGGAAGCCGTTGATGTTGCAGAGGGTGACGGCGGGGAAGACGAGGCTTTGGGCCACCACCTCGTCCACCTTGGTGATGTGCTGGTAGGAGAAGTAGTAGGACACCCTCTCCGAGCTCTCCACCAGCAGCAGGCCCAGGGAACCCACGAAGGCCACGGCCCAGAGCACCCGGCGGACGGTCAGCGGCCCATACACGAAGATGTGGCGGATACCATGCAGGGTGGAGGTATTGGCAAAGAGCTGCAGACTGGAGGGCTGCAGGCTGCCCTCGCTGGGGCTCTCCTTGAGGTCCATGGGGACCCTGGACACCTCCACAGCTGGCTTCAGGTTGATCGGGTTTCAGGGGGGAGAGTTCCCAGTCCCCCCGGGCTCGGCTCAAACCTGGACGTTGAGAAGCAGAGAAGCCAGGACCAGCGTCAGGCCAGGTGCGGTGAGTTTATCCCGAGAGCCCAGCTGCACGCTGACAGGGGTGAGTGTTTATATAAAGCCCATTCAAACTCTAGCTCCTGATTTTTTCCAGGCGATAAGAAGGGCTGGTTTTATTTAGGGAGACACCAAGGTGATGTGGAAGAGATGTGGGTGGGAAGGGAGAGCTTAGCCAATGGAAATAAAGTCCTCCCCCCTACACACGCCACTAGAGACAAGATTAAAAGCGAGAGCGAGGGAGAAAATGCTTAAAACAAGTCGCTCGGCAGCTCGGAGCCTGTTAACCAGTGCATAATGCCCCGTGTTAAGCATCCCGGGCATGTCAGCGCGGCCACTCCGGTGCACTGCGGGCGGCCGGGCGCAGCGGCGCGGCCGAGCCTCCGAGCCGCGGCCCCGCGCCCGCCTTCCGTTTTCCCGTGCGGTTCGTTTTCGGACTCCGGATTCCGCTTCTCGCCCGCCGGCCTCCGTCCCTCCTCTCCCCCTCCTCCTCTTCCTCGTCCTCCTCCTCCTCCTCTCGGCCCCCTTTCTTTGGGGCGGAATTCCAAATGCCCGTGGTCACGGCCAGCGCCTCCGGGGGTGGGAGGCGGCGCGCTGCCGCGGAGAAGGGAGGACCGCGAGGCTGGGAAGGATGCGGGGGCTCCGAAGGATGAGTGGGGGGGCTCGACCCAGACTCCGGTCTCCGCCTTCGCTCTCCTCCCTCCCCCACCCTCTGCCTCCCCCAAGAAAAGCGAGACCCCGCGGGCGCCCAGCGAGCAAGTGCGTCCCCCCTTCACCAGGCGGTTGGCTGCAGCTGGGACGCGGAGGAGGAGGGGTGCTGATGTCGGCTTTGGGGGGACCTGGCGAAAGTTTCTCGGGAGGGGAGGGTCTCTCGCTGAAGGTGGAGAGCCAGACGTCCTGATAGGTTGTTCGGGCGATTGGAAAACCTGAGACACCACCCCCCACTGAGAGCAGGGAGGTGCATGATAAACTCGCAGGAGACCGGTATTGGGGAGGTTGGAGGGGGTGCAACTGTCCTTTGCACCAGTGTGGGTTCCCGGGTCACAGCTGGTCTGAGATCTCCAAACAGAAGAAGCTGAAAAGGGGAAAGCATGCTTGGGAGACCGGGAGAGGAGCAACAAGTACCCCCACCCCCCAGAGAGCTGTCAGAAAGATCTGGATCTGAGAAAGACAGAGGCAATTCCGGGAAGGGCTAGCTGCAGTTCGTGTGTGTGTGTGTGTGTGTGTGTGTTTCTGTCCCAAGCTTTTAGCACAGCTGTAACTATAGGTGAGAGCCGGGATTGGACACTCAGCGTTCTCTCCCTCCCTTTTTCCTGACTATTCACCAATATTCAGGATACGATCCCTGGGTAGGGCTTGCCCCTGGCCAAGGTTCATACCTCAGGAATGGAACCTATAGAAGCAAGGATGCTAAATCCCCTTCAGGATGAATGGACAGAAAGTTCCAATGCCCAGCCCCATGTGCACTGCTGAGCAGGGGTTGGGGGGCACCTAGAGATGCATTGGTAAGCCAGTTTGGTGACCCTAAGGCAGACTGAGCTTCAGTAATGCTCCTTAGAACACAGTTTAGAAAAAGGAAGCTTATAGAATGTCCCTCTTAGCTTGCATCTACTCTGAAATAATTCTCGATCCCATCTGCCCTCTTTCTAAACCATATACAAGTGACATTTAACGGCTGGTTGAGTGATCCTGGGAACTCACAGGACAAAGGTATCTTATGGAAACAGATACAAGGTCACCTCTACTTCCTGCCTTGCAGGGGTCCCAAGGCCCTGTCTGGAGGGCTGCCTGAATGGACCATAGGGATATAGAAATATGGCCAAATAGGAGCCCAGATTCTGTCCTGTATCAGGACTCACGCGAGGGGTGGGTATGGGGTGTTTCTCCAGGAAACCCTTCCAACCATCTCAGTAGGTGTGGGTGGTTGCTGAGGCTCGGAACAGAGAAGGAGCCTGACCCAGTACTTTTGTCCACAGGTGTTAGAGCTGGAACTTGAACCCAGATCTATGAGTCTCCAAAACAGATTCCAAAGGCAGATGTGCAGAGTATGCCTTCCCAAATTTAGGAAGGGAGCCAAGCATTTGCCCCCCCCCAGATCTACTTCACATGCACCCACAAGCCCACTAGGTGCCCCATGGACCCCTCCTTGTATATGCAGTAAAAGACCTCTTCCCACCCTACTACCAGCCCCCCGGGGTCCATTTATTCGAAGCTTAAGGCCCTCAAGGAAAACTTCCTGAATCCCTCCTATCTTTGGCTCCTCAGCCCATATAACAAGTGTGCTGAATTCTAACTCTGTAAGAGACACTGTATGGGTTTGGGGAAACAGAAATAAAACCTATTTTCTACCCTTGATTACTCAGGGTTCTGTGCTGAAGTGGAAGGAGCAGTTTTGATTTTCAAAGTGGTGGGTCAGCCAGGGGTCACTTCGCCTTAATGAACTCCTCGAACCCCCCTTCGCTCCTGATGGCTTCCACAATCTTCACCTCCTGATCCCCATCCACAAGATGCCCCAAGAAGGTGGCAGGGATGGGAGGGGCTCAATGTTTTTTTTGATGCCTTTTTTTTTTCTGTCCTTGTTGTTGACTGCATTAGTTAGAGCAACAATCCAAGCATATTTTAAGAGAAAACACTGATGAAGAGAATGTATCCCCAAACCATTTTTTGGGTTTTTTTGGTTATTTTAATCAAAGGCTCATTTTTTTTCTTCTTTTTTTTGTGGGGGGAGGCGAGTGGGGGGTCATACCTGGTGATGCCATGGGTTACTCCTGGCTCTTGCACACAGGAATTAGTCCTGGCAGTGCTCAGGAGACCATATGGGATGCTGAGAATCAAACCTAGGTTGGCCGTGTGTAAGGCAAACGCCCTACCTGCTGTGTCAAAGGCTCATTTATTAAGTCACTCTCCCCTCCTCCAGTTGAGGGCAACTATGCTTGTGCCCTTTTGTACTCTAATGAAGATGCTGCACCAGCAGACTCAGAAGCGTTGCTCTGTTTGGGGAATGGCACTGGTGGCCCTTTGTGAAATAGTAATAATGTCCAAGGCCATAGTTATTCTGGAGATCAGCCTTGCCCATTAAAGATATTCAATTTTCAGTTAAGATGGAATTTGCTAGTTGTCAATGAAGAATTTTGGGGTTAAATTCACCCAGTGAAAATTTCTGGATATGCTCTGATATACTCAGGCTGATGAAAGAGACAAAGAAGGTGACAAAATGATGTGTGGAACACAGAAGGTGCCCACCTGTACTCAAGGAGAGGGAAGCTGACAGCTCTGGAAATCTAATCTGTTTATACACATAGCACTTGGCCTGAGGACCCAGTGCTGTCAGCTCTGAGGAGATGGACTGGGCAGACAGATAAATCTTATACCTTCTTGAGAAGGTGCATGTTTCATACCAACAATTGTGCATTTCAATAGATCCAACTTCAGTGTAGTTTAGTAATGGATCCTATGTCCATTGAACCATTCTTATTCGTCCTCACCCAGGAATGCCAAGTCACTCAACTGACCTGGTGATGCATCCCATTATAAAGTCCAGTGGACCCAGTACATCAGCAGCACAGCACATTGGTCTGTAGTCAGCGCTGAGGCAATGACTGTTTCCCCACTTTTACAGGATTGGGTATCTAGCAAAAACCCCTAATCTGAAATAGGAGGCTATAGGCCCTCCTGATCAATCATCTCAATGTTTGAAAGCCTTAGACAATATTTGAGGTTCCTCCAAACATCCTTGGAAATTGTCCCCAGGTGCTCCTTCTCTGCACACAACCTGCTATATGTATCAAAGTGTCAGTTCAGTCTAAAGCTAAAACCCGTGCAAAGCTATCAGTTTAATGATTGCCAGGGACTGTCAGAGCATGCACCTGGAAGAGCATGCAGATTGCCTTGGGCTCTTACAGGCCAACCCAAAAGTCCTTCCCCCTATCTTGACCTCTTGTGTGCTTATTTGTGATTATCACTTTGTCTCATTGCCCAAGTTAGAGGGAGACTCCCCACAGAACAACAGCCCATTGTCCCAAGTCAGAGTAAAGGGTGAGTGACCAGACCTCATGAGGGATCACCAATCATATCTCTCCAAGGACATCCAGCCCACTGATGGTGGCTCACTCCTATTTCCAGGCCTGCACAGATGGGGACTCAGTGGGAATGTCTCCCACTCCCCACCAAGCATTTAGAGTGTCTGCATTGTCTGCAGGACATACAAGACATTTCCAGAGACTTAGTCAGAGAGGTGGTTTGAGCCGTGATACAATACCAGGAGGAGGAGAGCAGTGGTGGTGGAACTCTAGAGAATTGCAAAGTCAGTTCAAGGCCAACAAGAATATGTTTCAAATATGATTGGAGGAAAACCTGTCGAAAATATCAGAAGGTTTTTTTTAAAAAAATCCTGATTAAATAGGATTCTAGGTCACTGGGATACAAAACTAGCCATACAACCAAAGTGAAAATGACTTCAAAAGCAAACATAGTAACAGAATCAGTAAAAGCTGAGCTCTTTTTAATAAAGACTCAGTTTCCTTAAATAAGCAGAGACCTGATATTGACAAAATGAAACCCAGCAAATGATTTTGATAAAAATCACAGAACTTTTATTTCTAGATAGCTTGAAAAGCTTTCACAATCCAAAGCAGGAACTGACCAATAGTCTAAGAGAATTTTGTCTTGTAAGCAGATGAAATAAAATACATTGGATTGAAGTATACTCTTAATAGTTAAGCTTCTCCTTTTGTTTTGGTTTTTGGCCACACCCAGCTGTGCTTAGGGCTAACACCTGGTTCTACACTCAAGGTTCACGCCTGATGGCTCTTTGGGGACCATATGTGGTTCCTTCCGGCATGCAAAGAGAGCACCCTTGCCTGCTGATACTATCTCTCTTGCCCCAAACTTATTTTTCTTTAATCAACTTAAATAGAGTTGATTTTACAAATTAATCTTGGCAATACCTTCCAGAAGTAGAAAAATAGTCAGGTGTATGATTTATATACAAACATAAGATATTCCAGTAATCTTAAGGCTATTGTGGCCTGCTGGGCCAACCAAACAGCCCTTCTTCAATCAGATTTTCAATTCACTGAGCACCTGTGGGTACAGGAATGGGGACGGGGGGCTTTAGATGCACTCTCTTTGTCTTAGACATTGTCCTAATTGTGTATAATGGTGGTTCTTTTGATAAAGGCAAAAATGTTAAGTGTGTGACTAAATATTAGAGAACTTTCCAGATAAATTCGTGTGTAATTCAAGCCATTTAACCCCCTCTTGGATAATGTGCTGAGATTTTTGCTACTGTGGTAAGTGTATTCACTTACAAATGAATAAATGCATGCATTAATGAGTTTAGTGTCTCTTTGAGGTGGTTTTGCAGAGGTATAAGGAGGGGGACCCTCTTCCAACATTGAAAAGCCTGAGGCCCAGGGCAGCTGAGAGGTAGAGTTCAGGCTCCCACCTTCTGCAAATTAGGAGGCAAGAGGGTTAGGATGCT